CTCGGAGCAGGCGCGAGGAGTGTTTGGCGAAGGTCTGAGGGATCAGAGCGTGTCCTAACCATTCAGGCACGCCAGAACTTCCTAGGACCTAGAAGCCTTAAATATTCGATTCTATTCATTCCATTACAGGGCTCAGGCCCTAACTCCTCGAATTGAGTTAAACCTCAGGTGGCGAACAATGGCCGGCAGCTGCCACAAGCGACAAACGATGCCGGAAGCAGCTCCTTTCGCTTGGCGGAGGCGTTGTTTCGTGGCGTTTCTGCTCGTTTTTTTGCATTGAGCCCTGAATTTTGGTACGGGGTTGTCATCAACTGTTTAAAAGGATGAGACTTCAGAGGTTGCGGCTTTGCATTTCGTCTTCATGGGCTCGAGGCTGTCGAGGTGTGTGAGGCTTGTAGAAGTGGAGGGAAGGCTCAAATCCCTTATCCCCGCGGCTTTTTTGCATGATCTGTTCAGTTTTAAACCTCTGTCATGTTAAGCTTCCCACTACCCAAGCCCAAATGCCTTTTGAAAGCCTACAGGGCAGAAGAACTTGTCGGTTTCCTGGCTATGGAAGTGAAAGGAAAGTCAGAGCCCGGACCCTGCCTCCGTACTAGGGTAGTTTTCTAAATTAGGGTCCCTTTTGAATCCCCAATATAGTACGGCACCCTTCTAAAACGGATCCTAAAAGGGACCCTACTTTTTGAGAACTACCCACAAGAGCCCACGATCAAGAACCGCTCGACCCAACAGCGGTACTGTTCTATAGGGCCCTTTTTGGGCCTTACAAGGCCCCAAAAGAGACGAAACCAGAGGACAAGAGGCTTGACAACTCCTTCCTAAGGCCCTTTCTAGGGCCTTCGAGCCCCAAAAATCCGAACCCGAAGTTCCTAAACGACCCAAAACCCTCCCTGAACCCCTGAAACCCTGAACCCTCCAAGGCCCCTAGAGGAGCAGAGTTTAGAGGATCCCTTTAAGGAGCCCCAGTCACCTAGTCTCAGTCTTAAGGACCCTGTAGTCATCAGAAGGAACACCTCAACATCTCCATTTCTTAAGGCCCCTTTAGTCATAAATAGAAGCCCATTACGGTTTCCTAGTTTTCAGGCCCCACACCCTAAGGGTCCATGTACCCAAATACTTTATACTATGAACTTTAGAGTCGTCCCTATATAAAGGTATTTTGGTGCCAAAGCTTATACCTTTTGGGCACATGGACCCTCAGGGTATAGTAATAGGTCCTCAGCCTCCGCGTTTCTGCTGGACGTGTGGCGCCGCGGAGTCTCGCAGAGGCGACGTCTGATCCTAAAGATTTCTAAACCCTACCCATAGGCCCCTAAGTAGCTACTTTTTGGGATTACATTATGGGATTCTAAATATAAACCATAAAAAGGAACTACTTAGGGCCTATGGGTACACTCTGAAAGCCCTAAACCCTGAAAGCCCTAAACTTTCGGACCAGCGCGATTAAGTGGCGCTGGGGCAACGGAGTTCCACAGCGAACGCAAACCTACCCATAGGCCCCTAAGTAGCTCCTTTTTGTGGGTTTCTTTTTAGAATACCATAAGGTAGTCCCAAAAAGGAACTACCTAGGGGCCTAGGGGCAAAGTCCCAAAAAAACCCAATCCCAGGTTTCGGGAAGGGAGCCTCTGAAATTGAAGTTTGAGGTTTCAGGCTTGTGGGTTTGGGGTTTAGGTTTGATGTTTCAGGGTTAAGTTATAAGGCTTTAAGGCGTATTAGGGATTTGGGATTAGGATTTGTAGGCTTTAGGGTTGAGATTGTCAGGTTCGGGGGTTTGGGGTTTAGGTGTGATGTTTCAGGGTTAAGTTATAAGGCTTATTAGGGATTTGGGATTAGGATTTCTAGGCTTTGTGGGTTGAGATTGTCACGTTCGGACGGGGGTTTGGGGTTTAGGTTCGGCGTTAGTGGGGGAAAGCTTGAATGCTTAAGATTAAAGGCAGAGGTCAGTTGTGTCTTCTGAAACAATAGGGCCTAATTATGGGTTTCGTCGAAGGGTTGTGGCTCTGTGGTAGCGTCCATCAACCTCGAGAAGACATAAATAACTACATTATACTACTCATAGTACAAACCTAGCGACGCATATTCATGACCCATAATTAACTGGTATCCTAAACCCTAAGCCCACCAAAAACTATATTTTGGTGTCACCAAGGGCTTGTGGGTTACATGGCCAAGCATGCCAAGGTCCTTTAGGAGAAGCTACGCGAAACCCTCAGCCCTAAACCTCTAACCCTTCAACACCTGTCAATGCCAGACCCGACGGCTCAGGGTTTAGGATTTAGGGTTTCGGGTTTAGGGAGTTTAGGGAGTTTCGGGTTTGGGATTTAGGGTTTCGGGTTTAGGGTGTCGGGTTTAGGGGTTTCGGGTTTAGGGTTTAGGGAATTTCGGGTTTAGGGTGTAGGAGGTTTCGGGTTTAGGGTGTAGGAAACCTGAAGCAACCAAAACCCAGTCGGAAAATCCTACAGCCGGCAGGTAGTTCTCGTGGTGGATTGGAGCACCACCGAAAGCCCGGCCCTCAGGAAACCTAAGACCGGAGGCAGGACTTCGGGATGACATAGGTTTGGTGGTTTGGTGGCTCCTTATTATTCTTAATACTGTTATTCTTGTTATTGTTACTATTAATATTACTTCTAGTATTATTACTGCCATTGTTTTTAGTATTATTCATAATAGTATAGTATAAGATACCTTCAACATTATAGCATAATTTACCCCCCCCCCCCCCCAAAGCTCTATTCTAACTATGAAGGCCCCTAGATCAAGCGGGCAAGCCCCTTCTTGAGGGAGGGAGTGGGGGGGGGGGGAGGGTTGAGAGTTTGGGACCTGAGCTGGGGAGGACTAGGGTTGAGGGCACTAGCAGCTGTAGGGTTGCATTAAGGGTGTAGGGTTCTGGGTTTGGGGTTTTGGGTGTAGGGTTTTGGGTGTTGGGGTTTTGGATTTTGGAGTCTTGGTTTCAGGATTTTGGGTTTGGGGGTTTTGGGTTTGGGGTTTGGGGCTTTGGGGGGTACCTTCAAATCACCGATGTCCTAAAAAGACAAGCAGGTGCCCTACATAGCAGGTAATTCTGGTTAAGTCGCTTGCTTTACTCAGCTGGGTAGGCGATAGAAGTCGTGCGAGGAGTCGTTAAATCCCCCAAGTTACCCGGTGTAGGGTTTAGGGTTGAGGCCAAAACCCGAATCCCAAACCCCAGAGGCCCTAAACGAAGGCAAAAAGGAAACACCCCTAAATTAAACCCTCATCCCTAAAATTTAAGCAGTTCTAAAATTGTACAAAAGCGATCTATCAAAGCCTGTGAAACCCTAAACTTTTTTAGGCCCATAACCCTATCAAACCCTGTCAGACCCCTTAAAGCGGTTCACACATCCTTGCCACCCTAAAGCCTAAACCCCTAAATCCCAAACCGTTCTGAGGCGTACAGCCAGACAGCTTGATCCTTCTGGCACCTACAGGCAGCTCAGTGTTTTCGGGTTTTCGGGCTTAGAGTGCAAGCACATCTGCTTCACTAAATATTGTCTGAAGGGTTCCTTTCAAAGGTCGGAGAAATGGTGTACTCGGGATTTTCAGGTTTACTATATTTTACCGGGTCCCTTGTGCCAGTATAATAGATCCTCTCGCCTCACATGGTTTGTTTCATCTTTTTAGGTACATGGGCCCTTTGCGGCTTGTGAATATCAAGTCTTCTTATAATAGTATGCTAGTATATGGGTAGTTCTCTAAATTAGGGCCCCTTTTGGGTCCCCAATATAGTACGGCACCCTTATAAAAAGGATCCTAAAAGGGACCCTACTTTAGAGAACTACCCATATTCTGATGGAGGGGCAGAGACAAACGTTAAACAAAGCCTCCAAAAGCAGACAGAGTGGGGTTACAGGCTAAGTTCGGGTTCAGTGGTTAGGGGATTCAGCCATGTTTTCTATTGAAGGAGTTCGGGTTTAAGGCAGTGTTCAGGGATTTATCCTTGGATTAATGATTGTGTTTTGATATCTTTGTTTAATAGATGCGCGCGTGTGTGTGTGTGTGTGTGTCTGTGCATATATATATATATATATAGATGTTGTGTGTGTGTATATGCGTGTCCATGTCCACATTCCTCAAGGGACCCTTCGGATATTCATACCTTGATATGCTCAAGAATTCTACTCTAACCCTCTATGCTGACTCGATATTACTTCTCAAAAACACAGGCTTTGCCTTAAACCTAAACCCTAAAGCCCTCAACAATATTAGAAGACCAAATGTGAACCCCTGGCTAGGGCCTTAGAGGTCAGCTTCGGCCCATGCAGGTTTCATTTTCGACCTCGTGAACTGTCTCCGCGATCCACTCACGGTCACATCGCAGGCGCGCTAGTGCGACAGCCTGGGATCCTTTCCATGCTTGCACTCTAAACCCTGAAACGCCCTATAGTGCAGGCTCTTCTCTATAAGCCCGTATATCAGAATCAAAGGGACCCTAGCCAAACATCAGGTTTTGATAGTTTAAGGCCAATAATAATAATAAGGCATTGGTAGAATGTTGTGATGTGGTAGCAGCAGCCCTTGAGACAGCTTGAAGCTGCGGCTTGTTGTGATCGCAGCCCCTGGTGCATCAAGAGCATGTCTACATTTTTTTGATAGCAGGTTGAACATCGAAGCTTCATGGAATTATTTCATCGCTATATATTATGTATCTTTGTTTTTTTATAATATTTGGTAAGAGGAAACATATTCTATATATATATATACACATGCGTATATATATATAATATGCTTATATATCTATCTATCTATCTATCTATCTATCTATCTATCTATCTATCTATATGTGTGTGTGTGTGTTTATTATTTATTCATTCATTTATTTATTTGTTTATTCATTATTATTCATTTATCACTTATTTGGATTTTATATCTATATTAGAATCTATATCTCACTCTGTGGAGGGGGGCGGGGGCAGCAGCTCAAAGCCCAGAAGATCGCGCGTAAGCGCCCCTGATTCCAGTATTGGAGTCTTTGGACGGTGCCGATGGCGCCCGCCCTGGAGAATGCGGCGGATGGGGGCAGCATTCAGATTGAAGATGAGACGGGGGGGTTCTTGGACAACATCGAGTACCGAGGAGGTGGCTACGCCATCCTGAGGGCTTTGTGGGACGCTCATGAGAAGGGTCTCGCACTACTGTCAGCGAACGAGATTTGTGCGAGGGCAAAGCAGTGGTGCTCCCATCACATGGCAAGTGGCTGGGTTGCTGTTAAGGAGTTTATTTAAGTTACCATAATGGGGATTCTTGGCAATTTAAATAGGGTTTCTTATTATAGTAACTTAACTTTAAGTTCCTTAAGAGCGACCCAGGTGGTCTCTTCGCGGGTTGTCATCGCGGCCTTGGCTGGGATGCCCATGGGTCGTTGTTGAAGCACGGGATTCTGAAGAAGCAGAAGCTAAAGGCGCGAAAGCAACGAGATCGTATTGAAGCTCAGTATGCATCTTCATACGTTTTGACCGTTTCTTCTTTTGAGAGTGCCAGGATCATAGGTGCCGCCGCACTTCCCTTCTGTTTTCAGGGCTTCAGCAGTAAGGATGTCTTCTGCCTGACCTCAGAGGGCAGTGAGTTGGTCGTGAAGCTGATAGAGATGTCTGCGGATGAGGAGGGACCGGCGACTCAGACGCCCAGAAGGACGAAGAGCCTGGCACAGTGAACCCTAAACCCTAAACCCGTAAAGCCGACACCCTAAACCCGAAACCCTAA